AAAACATAAACAGAACGCGTCGTGTTTTCGGACATATTGGGTGTATGCATTAATTCGTGTATGTGGTTTTCTAAGAGGGGCTCTACTAGTATTATGTCAGCGTCGTGTTCATCTGTGGCTATATTTATTTCAAAGGTACTGTCATTTTGCGTCGTTTTCATAGTAGATGTCATTTGTTTTTATCGTGAACAACAATTTGTATCATTGTTTGAAAATGTCGAAATTTGTACCAGATAAAGTGTTTTTGCTGGTGTTCTTCTTTCATTACTTTAACATGAAGAAGTGGTGCTGCCAAAAAGCTGCGTCGTATTTTCTACTGGAGCGTTATGGTGACGCATAGCTTTAGTCCGAACGGACGATCGCCAAAAGTGTTTGCACGGTTTAAAAGGTGAGCAATTTTCGACTGATGAGACACACGGAGAACTGATTCCCGGACAGCCAAAAAATTTCAAGAACGAATAATTGGAGACATTGCTCGAACGCAGATGCATGGTCTAGACGGAATAAGAAGCTTGCAAAAGTATTAGCAGTTAATCAGAGCAACGCCCGTTTCCAGGCGATATAAAATCAGTTAGGATTCATCAAAAGCTTGGCGAATTGGGTGACAATGAATTAAAGCCAAGAGATGTCGAACGTCGATTCTGCATGTCGAAAATGTTGCTTCAACGCCACCAAAAGAAGTCATTTTTGCATCGGATTGTCACTGGCGATGAAAAATGGATTCATTATGATAACCCAAAGCGCAAGAGATCGTATGTGAAACCCGGCCAACCATCGACATCCACGGCAAAGCCGAATATCCATGGTGCCAAGGTTATGCTATGTATTTGGTGGGACCACAAAGGTGTGCTCTATTATGAGCTATATAAATTGGGTCAGACGATCAATGGGGAAAACAATTGATTCGTTTGAAAAAGGCCATCGCGGAAAAACGACCAGAATATGCGACCAGACACGAATCAATAATTTTTCATCATGACAACGCTCGGCTACATGTTGCAAGGCCAGTTAAAAACTATTTGGAAAACTGTGGGTGGGAAGTTCTACCTCACCCGCCTTATAGCCCAGACATAGCACCTTCCGATTACCACCTGTTCAGATCAATGCAGAATGCGCTCACCGGAGTACGCTTCACTTCAAAACAGGGTGTCAGAAATTGGCTTGATTCTTTCTTGACCTTCAAGCCGGAGAAGTTCTTTTGGGATGGGATCCACAAACTGCCAGAAAGATGGGCAAACATCGTAGCTTTCGATGGGCAATACTTTGAACATCAAACGTATAACAATTTTTTCACAATAAAGTCTTAATTTTCCAAAAGAAAACTGCACACATTAATGCATACACCCAGTATAAAGGTAATTTTTCATCAAATTTTGTGAAAAAAGTTTCGTTTGTACAAGATAAAATTAAAAAAACCCAAAAACTTGGATCTTTGAGTTTTTCACATAAGTTTTGAGGTAATGTGAAAACAAATGTTGCCCATCGTTTTATTACTTACAACTTTGCCATATAACTTTTTTCTTAACGCTCAAACGTTGTAACTCTTATACGTTCGTCCGTAAATTATTTTTGCATTCATTTTTGTTATTTTATCTTTTTTTCAATGGGTTTCAACTTACTAAAAGTTTCTTTGGTCTAGTCTAGTTTAAATTATTATTATTAATCTATATTATAATCGAATATATTTAAATGAAATTAGTAAATTCGTTTGATAAAATAATTATGTAAACTTATAAAATTTGTATACTACTCCAATGCATGTTGGATTTAAAGCCTTTAGGAAATTTGTGTAACCAATTCGCCAATTCAGGTGCAATTCAGGTATTTCAGCATTCGGCATTCGCATTTTCGACGGAGGCACTAAGGAATAGCTATCTATGTATATGAAAAAAATATATATGTGTATATAAATATATATATTATATATATATTATATATGTAAGTTTAATGTACCTATTAATACGCGAGCAGACAATGTTATATGCATCCGACGCTGGTATCTGCAGAAGGTCATTGGGGTGAGGAGATTTTTTATTCAACTTCGACTGCATTAAGAAAAAAGTGAATTTTGTGATAAGTAAAGAACTCGCACAATGGAAATGTAAATTCTCACCGCTGTAGCTTTGAGCTGCTAGAAGCAAGTGTGCACATTCATATGCACACATGCAGAAAAGTATACAGATGCATTAATCTATATAAGTATGTAGTACATACAGCAAACTTCAAATTCGAGTATATAAACAGGTCGACATGCTTATGATTACTTGTATGCAAAATATCTACACATAGGCATATGTACAATAGTTCTTTTATTCACCTAGTGCGATAACCTTTCTAACACATATTCATTTCCAATCACACACCATACATACTTATATAAATGAAACACACTGCAAATGTTCAAGAAATCAATAAGCAAATAAATTTAGTTTATTTTGCAAAAAAAAAAATTAAACGAAAAGTATAAATAGAAATAAACTTTGTTTTTAAAGTGTTTCCTATTCCAGTAACATTTTGAAATTATTAGTACTTCTGCACTTTATTATCTTTACACACATATTTACACTTTTATGCACCTTATTAATTATATGTTTATGTTTATGTATACATATATACATATGTATTTATAATCAATATAGTTTGATTATCATAGATATGGAATATTATATCATTCCTTCGAAGAAAATCGTCATCTTTTCGAAAAGCCCGGAAAATGTAAGGCAAATCGTCGTAGTTTTGAATATTCATATTCGCAAATGTTGCTCAATTATTCTGCTCAGTGATGTTTGTACCCTAAATAAATATGAAAAAATTTTAATTTTAAATAATAATTCTTCAGATTTGATCGAAAATGCATGTATAAATTGCCTTTTGTACTTGTACTACATAGTTTGAAAAATAGCTCATCTTAACCGAAACGGAATCGAAAGTTAGTTCATTTAACTCTACTGGAAGAAATCGGGTTGGTCCGCATTAAAAAACTTCGGAACAGATAAATCTTTTCGGTCCATATGAATCAGATATTTAATTTAACGCCTTTGATAAGATGTGCGCCAATGCTAACGCTTAAAATGCGTATATAAATCTTTCAAATATCCTGACAACAACAGTTGTACGTCATTATGATATACCATTTAATTAAATATGACTCGGATTAACAAAAAAATATTTCCACGCATTTAAGACAAATGCCAACGCTTATTCCAATTTTCCGTGTGACCGTTTTAGAACCAACATGGTGATCTACAAAACGATAATCCAAGAAAACGATGAGCGATTGATTTTGGACCGACTTTGACGTGGTTTTTTCGGTTTCGACTCATTTTTTAAATGGCATTCGCTAGATTTTTGGACATTTCGATGGCACATTCTTAAACAGACGTCTCGTCACCAATAATAATCTGTTTGATGAATATAGAGTCCTCAGCTACGTTTTCAAGCATCCAGTAGAGGTCGCAACAACTCGACGTTCTTTATAGCCTTCGTTCCGGTTACGTATTGCTGTAAAATCAGACTAGTAGCATATTACCTCAAAAACACATTGTCTTCAACGCTTTTCGATTATTCAGTATCAAAACCCCGAATAGATTTTCTAAACCTTTCTAATGCTCGACGAAAAACTAAATCAGATGTCTCCCAACAAAATAAGAAAGTTATCAGCAGTAGTTATTCCCAAAAAGTTAACAAAGCAACAATTGGATTAACAAATTCCTGGTATCCAGGACACGAGCATTGATTTTGTACTGTTGGCTAAGTTTGTGATTAGCAGGTGATAATACTTGTCACCGTAGTAACTGCGGTTATTGGTTGTGTGATCTAAATGATTACATACAAATGTACTGTAGATTACCCAATATCTTAATGTGCAAGGCTTATTCAGATGTTGTATATAAAGTATAGGCAATGAAAATAATTTATGGTTTTACAACTTGAATGACATAATATCAACAGAAATACGAAAATTGACAGTTGAACAATTTATAACCTACAGCTATATACAAAATTATGCTTTTGACAAAACATGCTCTAAATATGAAATTAGTATGTATGAATACATATGTATGTATGTTCCATATATATCATGTATATATGTATGTATGTTCCCTTATGCAGTATTTCAAATATATTGCTCTTATTGTGTGGCTTCCTTTCCGAACCATACAAAACCTGGTGGGTTTCGAACGAACGATTCGTTGGTGGAGGTTTCTTTCATCTAGTGTTGAATAAAATTGAAATATACCATCTGAGTCAAAATTTATTCGGACTTGTCCATTT